ACTTGTGTGGTGAGGCCCCTGCACCCGTTGCAGGTGGGTTCCTCCCACCGACAGGTGCTTCAGACCTGGAGGCGTGCCAAGCTCAGCTCAGGTGTCACCTGCCCGAGATGCCGCCCGGCCTACGCCCAGGCACCCCCCAGCCCGCGGCGGCCCCAAGGCGCCCCGTGGGTGCCCTGCGGCCAGTGGCCACGCAGGGGGGGCCAGCGCTCGGGCTTCTGGCACAGGAAAGCCCTGCTGGACACCGAGCGGCGCTGGCTGGTGAGGGCTGTTGGTCTTCACTGGTGATGGAAGCACCCGGCCTGCGAGGGCCCGTGGACGTGCCAGGGCTGCCAGGGCGAGGCTGGGGGCCCCTGAGCCCCGCAGGTTGACGGGGCTGGGGGAGGGCGCTGCACACCGGAGAACCTGTGCTCGGGCAGGTGGCATCCTGGTCGTGGGCGCGTGTTCTGGGGTTTTCGGGGTGCCCAGGCCCGCCTGTCTGGGCTGTGTGGCGGGACGAGCTGCCCAGCGGTGGCCGCCTGGAGCCCCCCTGGAGCCCCGGCTGCCTCTAGAGGCTGGTCTGCAGGAGGCTTGGCTTCGGGTAGGGCAGCGCCACCACCCCGCTGTCCCCACCCCACGCAGGCCGACCCAGCTTGATTGGGAGGCTCTGTAGGGGGGGCCGTGTGCCCCGCTGGCTCGGGCCTCACCGTCTGCCGGGTAACTGACGGCGTTTTAAAGAAAGATTTATTTACGCACACAGGAGCTGGGTGCCGGCCAGAGGTGGGGGTTAGAGGACCCCCAGAGACAGGGTGGGCAGACAGCAGGATCCTCTGAGACACACTGCTGGGGGGCAGCGGGGAGGGGGCGTCGCCGGGCCCCCGGGGTCACTTCCTGGCCGGGGATGGGCACAGGCCGCAGTGGCGCGGACACTGAACAGCACTGCGCGTTGACCAGCTGCACTGCCTGGGAGACCCCTCGGCCGTTTTTAAACAGCTGATCCGGCGGGTGGGTCACGGGTGGCGCGGCGGGTACCAGCCCCGGCGGAACAGGGTCAGCCTGCCCTCCTGGAGCCCCCTGAAGCCACCAGGAGCTGGCACGGCTGGAGGCCGGTCGGCCGGGGCCGGTGTCCGGCCCCTCGGGCGCGTGTCTGCCAGGGCCGTAGAACGTGGACCCCGAGGGGCCGGGGCGCCGCCACACTTCCTGAAAGGCCAAGGCGGGAGGGAGGGCTGAAGACGCGGGGCAGTGGGCCCACGCAGGGGCCCCGCTGCACCCCTGCCACGCCCGGGCACACCCCGAAGGGCCAGGCCTCGTGGACCCCACCCCTACTCCTGCTCACCGGTCAGTCACAGCTGGGCTGCCCACCCGGCCTGCCCAGACTGGCCGTCGGTGCCATCCTGTGCCCAGGGGGGCTGTAGGCCCTGAGCCCTGTGCCAGGACCTCCCCAGACGCCGCTCGGCCCCACGAAGCTCCGTCTCCCGGTGGCTGCCCAGCCCCGGGCACCAGCCCTGCCCAGGGCAGCCCACTCCTGACCGCTGCTGCCGCCCACCTAGCCTGGCCCTTGCAGAAGCCGAGCCACGTGGTCTGCAGAAAGAGACGCGGTTCCTGGGCTCCGTGGCCGCCACGGGGTCGCCAGCGCCAGGTGCGGTCTGGCGGGCGGAGGCCGACCGCTCGCTTCCGGAGGGAAGCTGCAGCTGCGCCGGCACCTGGATGCCCTGAGCTGGGCCCTGCTCACCGCGGCCGTGGGCCAGCCCGGTCCCGTCCAGCAGCCCCAGCCGAGGCCCCGCAGCCGGTGACCCAGGACCGGCCCGAGTGCCTGGGGGGGCGCAGGAGCTCCCCTGACCCAGGCAGGAGCGTCACCCTTCGCTCCCACACTGGCAGGGGCAGCAGGGGTGTGGGCGGCGGGCTATGGCCGCCCGGTCGCTGCTGGGGGAGAGGCCAGACCCGGCTCCACCGCGAAGCCGAGGCCCCGCAGCCGGTGACCCAGGACCGG